GTGCAGGTATTTAAAGACTGGAAATGTAAATGACTGGAAAGAAAATATATGAAGTAAATGACTGGTTTGTATGATCTGAGTCCGTCCCTTTTTCTGGGGGCTGTCCTGCTATTTATACTCGTCAGTGATGACCTTCGAACTGCACTTCGAACCGTCGAACTGCTCCTCCATGATCGCTGATCATGCTTCCTTACAAGTAGCTCCATTACGCCATTACTGGCAGTTGAACTTCCCTCTTGTACTTGAATTTGAATATGAGTAACCGTTGAAGCTATGTTATCTTGCATCCCGTTATTGATCTAGTGTTACTCAGATCATGTGGGAACCAATATTTATTGACACGTGTACGATAAGGATTGAAGGCTTGAATAACCTTCCTTTATTACCCTTACTCTGTCACGTGTCGAACTGTAACTGACTTTTATAAAATATGTAGCCAACAAAAATAGATTAAAAAATAATTAAAATAAAATATCATATTCAAATTATAATCATTTTATTTTTTTTACAAAAATTAAAAAGTATTATAAAAAAAACTCGTTTAAAACGAAACTTTCTAATCCAAAATTAAAAATGCCGATTCCCAAATAAATGCTGAATCTACCATAATGATTTATATTTTAATATTTTATCAAATATATATATATATATATATGTATTAATTATGTATTTTGGATAAATTTCAAATCCGTAACTAGCGAATCAGTAATTTTAGAGCCTCCACCACATCAAGCGGAAGTGCGTCGGTCGTTGCATTGCAACTATCGAGAGAGGGTTAACGTTTTCCGGGAAAATTTATCAATATATGCGTTGAGAAAGCGCTTTGGTGGTGAGAAAATCTGGGAAAATCTGGGCTCTCTGGAAGCTTCGATCAGAGATGAGGTGACTGTGGACACCCCCTCTCTCTCCCTTATCGTGAGCTTCGTGTTCTAGAATTTATGAGCCCGAGATCTCGAAGCTCGATACTGGTAAAAGCCAATTTCTGATTCTCTGCTCTCTCTTTCTCTTTCATCGCTTTGATTAGGGCTTCAAACTTTCCTTTCCAGTTCCGTTTTCTAAATCCAACGATTTGGTGTTTTGATACTCAAATTTTGAATTTGAACTTTTTGACTGTTCCTTTTGTTTATTATTAATTAATTAATTGCTGATTTATTTATTTATTTGATCTCTGCTTTGCTGATCAGTTTCTTGAATTGAACTAGTTAGAGCTGGATGGATCATGCTTCTAAGTTCATTGTGTTGCTGGTGCTCCTTGTATTTGGTATGTTTTTACCAAGAAAACCACTCTGCTTTTCGCTTTCTTTTTTCATTTCATTTTATTTTATTTATTTATTTATTTTCTTAGGGGTTTGATCTGGAAATTAGGTAAGAACAATGTCATTTTTTTAATATAAAAAAGAGGAAGTTTTTAATCAGATTCTTTCAACTTCTAGCTAGCTTGTGTAGAAATGACTTGTTGCCAAATAAAATTACAGCCTTTACACTTACTACTGTTTATCAAGAAGTGTTGTTTTGAAGCTTATTGGAGAAAAGCCTGGTTAATCCAAAAATAATTAAGGTTTGAAGTGAAAATATATGGTAAGGGTCTGTGTGTATACATGGTTATAAGGTATTGTTTGGTTAATAGTTGCTTTTATTTTTCCTTAATATTTTTTCAGCTTCTTCAGCAGTAAGTGCCTCACATAGCAAAGATGACTACCAGCATTGTGAAAGTACCGTCAACAAATGGGCTTCTTCTTCCATTGATTTAGAAGTCAAAGAAGACAAACATATACTACGTGATTTGCTGTTTTTCCTTCACATCCCAAGAACGGGAGGGAGAACATATTTCTATTGGTAATTTCGATCATAGTAAACGCTCAACTTTTTGTTTCCATGCTGTTTTGGCAAGTAGTATAGAATGTTGCTTCTAATGATTGATTTATACTTGCAGTTTCTTGAAAAAGTTGTATGCTAGTTCTTTGGAATGTCCTCGTTCTTACGATAAATTACGGTTTGATCCGAGGTAACTTCTTTTCCTCTGTCATTCTAATGTGAAGCTAGGCATTTGTTAGCACACCAAATTGACCTGACCTTTTTGTTCCTACTGAAAGAGAAATTTAGCGATCACCCATGGCCATGGGTAGCATTGTAGCTTGAGCGGGTTCGATTAGGCTGAGAGTCTATCCAATCTTAGTTTGGAGTGTACATGGATTTACCCCAAGATTGACCTAAGCTCGACCTTTAGCCGTAATTGAATTCCGAAACCCGAGCCTAAGTTTATCTCAAAGAGCTTGGATTAGGCCTAGGTTGCCGAATTCAACACACAAAATTTATCTTGGATCTAATATTGAGCCTGGCAATTATCATAAACCAACACATTGCACTTTTTGGGGGGAAAAAATGAGGGAACGACTACAAACATGAAGGTATGAAACATAATAAGAAATTAGTTTGAATTATATATACTAAGCAATAGAATTGATTACATTAAAAGTATGATTTAATCCAACAATGAGAAAATAATTACTATTTTATATGTTTTTTCATGTTTATTATATAAAATTATATATATTAACTATATAAGTCAGGTTGTTCTGGTTGTGAGAGCCTCTTCCCAAGCCTTGACTGAATTTTGAGTTAGCAAATTTTAGCCTAACCCCATATCACATTTAAAATTATACTGTCTAAGCCCTAATATTTAGCAAGTTGGACTTAGGTTGTTCATGTTGGGCACACCCGGGTTGGATCCCTTACCCATGGGACCAACCCCTATTTGCGAACATAGACATTTTTATTAGAAATCAAAGGCATTGACGGCCTTGGCTATGCATTTTCCCTTTAATAGAATTTGTCAAGGTGGCATCCATATAAACATGTGTCCTTTGTCATTCTCAAACAAATGATGATTGCTTGAGGTTTGAAGCCAGCCCAAGGAGACTCGGCATGTTGGCTTTATATAAGGCTCGAATCTTGTCTTAGCCAATGACCTTAGAAATATGGGAATGGGGTCATCTTAAGATGGCCCCCTTCTTTACATTTTCTTGCCTCCACTTTCACCCTAATGCGTTTCTCCCTTGACCTTGACTTCAATTGTGATAGTCTTCATTTCCTTGACCTTTACCCTAAGCTATGAGGCACCGACACTTCAAAACAAGTGTCGTATCCGTATCAGACACTAGGACACTTTGGGGACACGGACACTCCAAGAACACATATGGGACACACCACATGGTGTGTCTCTTTATTTAATTAATTTATTTTCAGGGGACAGGCTGGGTGGGGACACACTAGAGATATGGCAAGTTGTCTTTTTTCCAATTTTATTTAATATTTTTGATGAATGATGAATGTTGAATGTTGATTATTTTTTTCTTAGATTTAAATACTTAGTAGATCATCCATAAAAAAAGATATATACTATAAGTGTTAATTTAAAAATACTTTTTTTTAATTAAAAAAATAGAATTAGATTAGTTTTTGTTAATATTGATTGTTTGTGGATGCAATATTAATCTAGATAAGAAATAAAAATATATGAAAACATATTTTATTGTTGTGTTCCCGACTTGTCCGTGTTCCCATTTTTTTGAAATCGCGCATGTCCCGTGTCCGCACCTGTATCCGTATCTACATCCGTATCCGTGTCCGTGCTTGTTAGACCCTAAGTCCCAAGAGATTCTAGATGGGGTTTTCTCTTCTATGTGCCCTCGCTCTCTTGCCCCCGCTTCGTGCAACTAAGTTCTTGAGCCCGACTTAAACTCAATTGGGTTTGCTTTCCTATCTGCCATAACCCCCTGCCCACCCTCCCATCTAAGCACACATTGGTTAATTAAACTCCACACCCATCCCAGTAGGGTCAGGTTAGGTCAAACACTTTGCCTTCTAGGTTATTTTGCTATCCCTAGTTGTGAAATAGGCCTAGACTTCTCGCTTACTTTTAATATAGGGATAAATAAGGTTGGTTTTTTCTGTTTTTTTTTTTTTGAGCCGGAAAGAATGAAAATCTAATAGCAACTAACTAAACACAGTGGTTGTTTGTTCTTCCCTCTTGCATAGGGAGCTACAAAGGACAAATGGACAATAAACTTGCTTAGCTAGAAATTGTACATATTTTATTTACTGAAAGATGGTAAGAATATAGTTGTTTTTGCTCTTGATAGTACACGATTTGCTAATTGGTTGTGGTACATGTTAGGAGAAAAGCAAAGAAGCCAACAACTTTGTTAGCTAATTCTTATCAATAATGCTAAGATGGCCATCTTTTCTTACCACAATTTGTGTACCACCCTATGTGTGAGCACTTCATTGTTTTTATGGGTCCCACCACTTAGGTTTGGTCCATGTTGACACTTGGGATGATAAACAAAACATGGTGAGAAAATATAGTCATTATAGCATTATTGAACTTTTATTGTTCATTTTGTGAAACAATTATTAAATGCTTAATAATTTTGCTTATAGGTGATTCTAAATGGTTTACTTTTGTGTTTTGTGCAGCAAACCAAATTGCAGGTTATTGGTTACTCATGATGACTATAGCATGATGTCCAAACTTCCCAAGGAAAAAACTTCAGTGGTGACGATACTTAGGAATCCAATTGACCGTGTCTTTAGCACTTACGAATTTTCAATAGAGGTAGCAGCTAGGTTTCTAGTACATCCTAACCTAACATCTGCCACACAAATGATTGGACGCCTGCGTTCAAAGAACCGTGGAATAAGTACGCTGGATATTTGGCCATGGAAGTATTTAGTTCCGTGGATGAGAGAGGACCTATTTGCTCGAGTATGTTTGTTTCAATGTTTGTCTATGGTTACTTCTAAACAATATTTTTTTGGGTATATACTTGGTTCTTTTTTTCATGGATGGAAATTGGTGTGTACTTTTTCTTCATAAAAGATTCTAATTTATTCGATATAATCATAGAAAGTTTGGAAAGGCTTTCCTTAATGAAATGATAATACTGTTCATTTCTATTTAACTAATTAATGGGTTTATAGAAATAAATATACTTCTATTTGTGAATGAGTAATGCCTTGGGTTCTTTAGAAGCTTATGGGGACAAGAGCGAAAAAAGATTATGCTTAACTATCCTTCCATAACACCTTCTAATTTTGATAGGTATCTTCAATACTTAGGTTCTTTAGTCCTAAGTTCCATGATCTGTTGCTGAGGAATTATCCTCCCATCAGCCAAATCTTGAGGCCATGTTATATGAACTGTCTAGTATTCTGTTGTTGTACATTCTTTCTTTCAAACAATATTTAGCATCCATGAACTAGGATGCCCTTTACATTTTGTAGTGGTGATAGTTAAACTAATCAAATACACAATTGCGCCTAAACCTTAGCTCAAATTTGCAAATCCATTATTCCAATTTTCAACCGATTAGGTCAACAGGATATATCCTTCTTCACATTTAGTTCTTGCAAAATGGTGCCCTCTCTTTACCTTTAGATCCTTCTCTAATAGCTTTCTTCTCAGCTCACATTGCCCCTATACTATTGATATAGGTTTGGGGTTGCATTATGTAGGTACATGAGTCCAACCTTGTTGTTTGGCATCACGAGATCACCCCTTAGATAGCTTCACATTCAAGGCTCTTGTGCCACGCGTCAACTCCTCAAGGTGACATGTGGGCTAACAGTGTGGGGGGCAGGCATCCCAGCTTGATTGGATTCTTCCCCATGCGCTCTCACTTGCCCAAGCCTTAGGCCTAATTGATTTGCTCAACTCGCGAACAAGCTCACTAAGCAACGCCTCGACCTTCAGACTGAAGCATACTGCTCGCTCTACCTAGGTTGGGAGTAGGGCCTAGGTACCTTAGTCAGGAGTCGGGACCTTTGAGGTCATGTAGATTGGAGGCTAGAATTCAAGCGGTCTTGACCAAGACACGTGATACCATGATGATCATTTAAATGCCCCTCAAAAGAAAGTAAATAGAATTATACCTAACTTAGAGTTGATCTAGCACGCACCACAAGAGATGTTTGATACCTACCCACTGTCTACATGTGATACGCTCCACGAGGCCCATGCTAAAGTTGCATGGTTGATCGAAGTTCCCTTCATTTTGTCTAGCCAAGGGGTCCCCCCCCCCCTCCCCCCCCCGCGGCGCTCCCCTTAAAGCTGACTTGGCCCTCTCCTCCTCCTTCGGTGGTTTCCAACTGCTTAGTGTCAACCATCTTACTAGAGGGCATACTTTATCCAACTCATCTCCAACCATCCACACCTTACAAAGGTTCTTGTGCAGTCCACTCTCTAGGACAGTGGCAATGGGAAGAAAGGACAAAATGTGAGTTGGGTTCAAACAAAGATGTGTTCAGAGGACCCAGCGTTCCATTGATGATTGTAGTTATATTATTTGGAACCTAAAGTATCCATTAAGAAAGACATCTTACCAATCCTTCCTTGACAATTTGACTAAGGAACTCACCCACATCACACAATCATCTGTTTATCATATATGAGTCATTTCACAGCAACTAGAGTTTTACATGTGTTATTGACCTGATAGCTACATGTGGAGGCTAGGTAGAGGAGAGTTCAACTATTTTTTCCCCCGTTTTCTCTTATTTTCTTTTTTTATTGTTTATTTATAAAGAGCTTGCTTGCTTGAAAACTGACAAAAACCTTGTGATAAATGGCTTGCTTGAAAACTTAAGCTGTTAGAGAACAATATAATTGTATGATTTAATATTTCATCTCACTTGTGGGCTCTCATGAATGAGCCATCGATGTAAAAAAATTATTAGTTATCAATGAGAGATAGGATTCAAGCACAAGACCAATCTTGCTTTGATCCCATCTTAAAAAACCTTGCTTTAATATCTTAAATAGTTATGTGGGATTGAATAGTATATCTGAAACAACCCTGAAAGAAACCTTTTATGAAAAGAGGGTTTTTAGGAAAATCAATTAGGACGGCGAAGGATTTAAAAAAAAAAATTGAACTTGGGCAATTTGACCATTTGGATTTCAATTCATATAGAGTGATTAATAGTGTTCATCTGGATTTTTCTGCGACATGGCTACATGTCAAAATTATCAACTACTGCATTATTACATCTGATGAGTCTTTTTCCATTTATATTGACAGAGAGATGCCAGGAGGGATAAGGGCCCAAATTACTTCAGAAGCAATGACTCATATAATATGGAGGACATGGTAATGCCATTACAGGAATACATTAATGATCCTATAGCTCGAGATATCATTCACAATGGAGCCACATTCCAGGTACTATGCTAAAATTTGAAATTAGGAGCTGTTGCTTATTCTTGTAGTTATTGTGATTGGTTCATTACAATCTTTGGCTTTTTAAGAACAAAGGCTTTGGCCTAGAACAAAGGCTTTGTTATGCTCATTAAACTATTGATGCAATTTTATTTCCTTCTAGTTTCAACCGCCTATGTATAAATATATATATATATATAAAAGAAAAGGTTGTGAGTCCATGCATACTGTACTCTGCCTAGTCATTGATTTCGCTGCCTTTTTTTGTTGATCCTTTGATCAGCTGAGGCCTTGTTACTGATCATATAAGGAAATTAACTATTATGTATACATCTTACAATTTGGATGTTTAATGCAAAATGTCTCGACATGAATTGCTTAAAATTGTTCATGATGTACTCTGCATATAAATTGATTTCTCTGCCTTTTTTTTGTTGCTCCTTTGATCAGTTGAGGCCTTGTTACTGATCATATAAGGAAATTAGCCATTATGTATACATCTTATAATTTGGATGCTTAAAGCAAAATGCCTAAACGCAAATTGCTTAAAATTTCTAACTTTCATGATCAAGCTCAGGATGCTCTCGTATTTTTTGCTGACAACGTGTTTCTCCATGTATCTTTGTTTCTTTGGTGATTTCTTTGGGAGATGACATTTTACTGTTTTTAATTATTTTAGCACTGTATATGTGTCATGTACATGGGTCATGCCCATTTTAATTCCTAACAAATTATTACTCAGCAAAATAAAGAGTCATGCATCTAGTTGCAAAATTGTTGTCTGTTGACCACTCAAGTGTCCATATTTATCAGTGAGGGGAAGTAGTTGCCAAATTAAACCCAATATTCTATTGGTTAAGTCCATTGTTGAGAGTTGTAGGAGGAATTCCATTGAAATGATCAAAAACAGTCAAGTACACCATTACGTGGGATGGCTGTGAATTTATTTATTTTTAAATTCATTAAAAAAATAACTGTAATTTTTTATTTTATTTTTATTTTTTGAATAGATTGCAGGACTGACAAACAACTCTTATCTACCTGAGTCACATGAAGTGCGTCGTTGTGTACTAAAACATCAGACTCTTGGTGAATATGTGCTTGAAGTTGCAAAGGTAATGACATTAGGTTCCTTATTTGTTCATGATGCTGGATGATGAACTTGTTTCTCTGATATAAGTTTCTCTTTATGGTTGCAATCATGGTAGATCCCTTGTAAATCTTGCAGAAGAGGTTGGATGATATGTTGTATATTGGACTCACTGAGGACCATAGAGAATCTGCAACAATGTTTGCAAATGTGGTTGGTGCACAGGTGATTTCTCAGTCAATAGCATCCAGTTACAATGCAGAGCCTGCAGTTAATGACAGATCAGGTCAGTGTTGCAAAGTATTTCTGTCAGCAAGCTATTTGTTATAATAGTGATTAGTAATATATAGTTCACTATGGCATCCATGTAAAAACATGTATATATGTTTCTTATTTTTTTTTGAAATATGATTATTTAAAAAATGTTAATAATTGTAGGTGGACGAAAAAGTTTGAACGCAGTTCTTATATCACAGCAGAAGAAATAAACCCATGTTTTGCATTTTAAATTTGGTATTTATTTTAGGAAAAGAATCAATTGCATGGAAATCAAATGTTGAAGTTTGTAAAGATTTAAAAGGTGCATGGATTGATTTATTGCATATTGTTAGTGGGTTACAACTTAGTGGTATTGGATGAACTTAGCCTGCATTCATTGATGACAAATTAAAATTAAAAATAAAAAAAAATAAAATAAATGGAATGAGAAGTGGGTTGTTTAATCTTTGGGACTTATTTTCTAGTGGAATTGACTGGATATACACAACTCTGACAAGGGAGGGCAATGTTATTTTAGAAACCACAAGGGAGATCCTTCTAATTGTCAGATACCTTAGGCGAGGTCCAAGGTCCATGTAATTAGCCCTAAATAAAAAGGAGAAAAAATAATAATAGTAAAGCCTCAAAAACTACAAGTTCTCTTGTTTTGCATTGGAATTTGGTTAGGACCTCTAGATTTTCTTTCCTCATTTTATTAATTAATAGATAATAAAATTATCGAGGTGATTTTATTACGGTTTTTTCTTAAACATGCTCTACTGGCCTGCAGAAGCGAGCTCTTCATCCCTGGATTCCAAATCTGATACTAGTCACTATCAGGTAATAAGTATTGACTTATAAGTTGTAACTACTTAATAAATGAGATGGTTAGATCTTGTTGCATTCATAACACTTCATTGTTTCTTGCATTGCAGAATACCAGCACAGACCGAAAGGCAAGCAAAATATCTTCAACCGAAAATGTTGAACCAACAAATGAAAATGTAAGCCCTTTTTGCTCTAAACATGTTTGTAATTTGTATGTGCTCATATTATCTGTTACCTGTCTTTTGAAAAAGAAGCTAAGAACCCTTCCCCTACCATATCAGATGACTGTCGAAAAACTTATGGATTCTTATGAGACCTGTATTTCTAGCTTACGAAAGACCCAAGCACAGCGACGTAATATTTCTTTGAAGAGAATCTCCCCTGCAAACTTTACTAAGAAGGTATTATTGTTTCAAGTTCCTTCAGAGATTTGCTCAGCATGCTGTTTGATCTTTCTTCTTTCTTTATTTATTGTTTGTGTGTTGTGATATTCTTGTCTTCCTCCACTTGTGAACCTGTTAATTCTGTTATGATGTTTATTCTATATGGGTTCATGATATGGAGGTAGCAACTATTAAGCTCATCTGATAGGGGCCAAAGGTAATTTTTTAATTCTTACATGGTTGACATGGTCCGCATGCACGAAGATTGATCAATGTTCTTTTCCCACTTTTTTTTCCCTTCTTTTTGGGTGTCTGTCTGCGCAATTTTTTTTTTTTTTTTTTTTTTTTGGGGGGGGGGGGGGGGGGGAGAGATTAGTTGATTTTTGATTCCTAACCAAACCAACTCTCTCAAATATGTTTGCATTATTTATAAATAAAAAACTTAAACAGATTCATTAGAAGAACTTAGTAAATGAGTGTTAGGATCATGTGATTGATTTGAGATAGGTAATGACAGTAAAAAGGGATCATGATCATATGCCAAAAGATGTGATGTTTTGCTTTTGGTCCATTTTAGTTACATTCTACCTGGATAAGTAATTGAAAATCCCAGAAGCTATGAAGCACGAACCCTCAGAGGTCGAGAGTAGGAAAATTTTGAATGCTGCACCAGTACGTGTGATGTAGTGTATTTGGATAGAAAGGAATCACACGTCTTTTTAGATTTTAGATTTCCCTTTGCATATCTTGAAAGAAATTTTGCCCATGTACATGTTTTTTTTTTGGTTGAGTCTTGTCATTTTTCTATTATGTTTTTTTCTTTTCTTTTTTTTTAAAATTTTTTTTTTTTTTGTATTTCATGATAGATTTGTACATTCCTGTGGATATTTAGGCTGTGGGATGTTGTTTTGCCAAGTGTACAGGGGTGCACATGCACTCTCACTTTTGGTGGCTATTTTTTAATTAGTTGTGCTTGTGAAAAAAAAAAAAAAAAAAAAAGAAGAAAATATGCGTATAGTTATAGTGCCATAATCTCAACGAAGCGTTGTTGAGTATGGGTTAGAGCTATAGTATGTATTATTAAATACATTAAAAGCTCGTGATTTATGCTGAAATTCATGCTCCATTTGATAACAAGTCAGTTATGAATATTTTTTCTGAACAGAAGCTATAGATGGTGGAGTTTCAATTTTTGTGCAATGTCTTGGAATATATAGTCTTGGACTGGACATTAACTTTATAGATGGGTCATAACGCTGGTCTCTTAGATTGAGGCAGATGGTTATGAAACTACAGGGGCCAATACGTATTTTAAACAAACCTTAGGGGGGTGTATGTAATTTTTCCAAAAAGGAATAAATTGGTCTAGTGCCTAAAGGAAATCAACTCATATTGTTGTCCACTACCAAAACACATTACAATATAGGATCATCTCCTTTTTCCCAATCCCCTTTCAGCCTTTTTTGTACATCAATGGGGAAATTACCAGGCAGATGTCACATTGTTTTGTGGTTCAATCTTTTCAAAATGGAGTGTGCACATACTACTTTTTGATAATAAAAAAAAATATTCTTCCACCCAAGTTCTTTGATATGACATGTTGTGTGTGTGTGTGAGCGTGAGCGCACACGTGTGAAATTTACACTACCCTGCTTTTTTAGTCAATAAAATATGACATTATTCCTTATCGTAAGGCTGCCAACACCTCTTACTTTTTGAGCCATGTGTTGATAAGGAAGCATCGTGTTGGTTAACAAAAGTATTTAATAAGATTTTAATAGCTTGAAGAATGCTTGACAAGTGGAGGAAAATATTTTAGTACCTATAGGTAAAAATAAAGGAGATTCAAAATTGCAACAATTATAGAGATAATAAATTGATGAGTCATACAATGAACTTGTGGGACAAAGTGATTAAGTATCGCTTAAAAATTATAACAACAGTTTCAGAGAATCAGTTTGGATTTATGTCAGGTAGATCAACTATGATACCGATATATTTACTAAGAAGATTAATAGAGAATGGGAGGGATCTTCATATGTTTTTTTAATAGACTTGAAAAAGCTTACCATAGGGTGCTTGGAGATATAATGTGTTTAATGAGAAAAGGGTATATGGAGTTGTGACTACAATTAGATCACTTGCAGGAGAAATTAGAGAGTTTTTAATCCCTGTAGAACTGCATCTAGGGTCTACTTTGAGTCCTAGCCATTTGCCTTTGTCATTGGATGAATTAACTAAACACATTCAGACTGATGTTCCATGGTGTATGTTATTTGCAGATGATATTCTTCTAATGAATTAAACTACCTAAAATAGAAATCTGGAAAGCACTCAAATCATAAGGATTTAAAATTAGTAAAAGTAGAATTGAATGTATGAGATCATTGAGATGTAACTTTAGTAATAATTGAAGTAAAAATAATGGAGAAGTGAACGTTGAAGCCAGGAGATAACAAAGAGTGAATATAAGCAGCTTTGATTGTTAATAAAAATGGAGACATTGGAGATGATGTGATCCATAGAACCAAAGTAGGTCAGCTCAAGTGCAGGAATGTTTAATTATTGCTGTTGCCATTTTTTACTTACTGTCAGATAAAATGTGTCATCTCGCTCCTGTCACCGACTTTCTGAACTTTTTGAACTTTTGCAGGCTCGTCTTCAGGTTCCTGAAGTGCTTCTCCAGGAGATTCAATCACTTAACAGCTTAGATATAAAGCTCTATGAATATGCTGGGGACATCTTCTCAAAACAACATGAAAAGATGACACAGAAATTCGCTGGTGCAGTAAGTGCCCATCTTTTTAAAGACACTTGCACTGTTTTTCCATTGCAATTCTATTGTACTTGTACTCAACTAAAACATTGCACCAGATGAAGAAATTAATAACCAGGATTTGTTGCATATCTGGATTCTCTTGAAAATAGAAATTTGAGGAGGTAAATAGAAAATAGTGATGCTGAATATTTCCTCTGGCTTAAAAAGTACAAAGTGTGCTCAAATGCTTGAGATGTCAACCAACATGTAGCAGATGTGTATTTGACTATCACTCAAGCCTCTTCATATTTACTCTTCATATTTATTGTGAGCTTAGCAGTTACCAATCTTCCCTGCAAGAGCAATGAGGGTGTTTGGTTGATCACATTGGATTTCCAAAAATTCATTAGTTTGTAACATTTAATTGCTGCAAAATCTCCTCCCCTTTTTTTGCCATAAACTCATATTCTTCTTTTCAATGGGTTTAGTGGACTTCCGTGTGGACCATGGTTTTCTACCATAGGTGGTTATACATAGTAAGATTATCTGTATTACTATTAGCCTCATACATCATCTAACTGAGTGATTTCTGTTCTGTGCTGGTTTTTGCTGTCTTTGCTACTTTGAGTCATGGGCGGCGCTAGGAGTGACAATAAGGGGTCAGTCAATCCCATAAAGTAGAAGAAAAAAAAAATGTAACTAGATATTATAGTGTATTTACAAATTTTAGGTGAAATTTCTCATGTGACCTATCAAACTGAATGAAAAAACATGTAAAAATTGGATCTTGGGGTCAATCTAGTCTTTTTGCTCATTGTTTGAGGTCAATCTAATATTTTCTTAGCTACTTTGGAGTCAGTATAGTGAACAAACAAAAAAAATATAAATTAGGGTTCAGTTTTTAAAGTTGGATGAAAATGAATTGACTTGAAATTACTTTTAGTCAGTAAAGGGTTGGTTTGATGTAATTCTACTTGTGAAAAAACAAAATGGCATGTATTATCTCATTTATGTGGTTTTGTTTAATATGATTAATTGCAGGAGAAGCTGGAGAGAACGTTCGACAGTTCATTTGGTGCCCCCACTTCGTGGAACATTCTATGGTTAGCAATATCCTTAGTCTTACTCCTTTTGTTCATCGTATTATTTGTAAGCGCAAGAAGAAGAAAATTCAAACTGAAAATATGAACGTGGTTTAGTTGCAGTTCTAGGCATACAAGTTATAGGAGAAGAATAGAAAGTGAGAATTAGTTAGTGTCCATTTATGGTCAAGTTTTGATGTCCCTTTAATTTAAAGAAAGATTTGGATGTTTTGTCGAGAGGGGCAATCTTGAAAAAGGTGAAAATCAATATGGGTTTCTTTCTTTCTAGTCTATGCATTTTCTTTTAAATTACATGCATCTTTTGTGTTGTATATGGATGGAAAATTAGATATTGCAGCAAGGAATTGGGGCTTTGCTACTGAAAGCTGAAAGCTAAATTGATTACATTCCTAACATGTTCTGCTGAAATTTGCTATGTGACAGGCCGGTGTGTTCACAACCAGATTAGATTAATGAGTTTAGCATTTTCTTTGTGAATGAGTAAGCCCGAGATGTGGCCATTTATCAACCGTTGATGTGCACTCTACTACATCAGCCCTGTTTGGTGCCAGCTTATAAGAACTGTTTATAGTGTTTAGTTTTGGAAATACGTCGTATCAAATACATCTTTTGCTTATAGATGCAAAAATAGCTTAAATAAACTCTTTTGCTGCTACTACTTGGTGCCTAATGTTCTTCCACCTAAACATGAAGGAGGGCGGGTGTAGTTCTGTGGTGGAAGATGTCTTCGTATTCCTCTTAGGCTCGTTTTGAAAGAGAGATATGTAGAGCAGTTCTAGTCCCTCAATTGATTCGTCTTTAAACATGAAAAAAAATATATATATATATATAGTTGATTTTTTTTTTCCGATTATTAGCGGTTAACTAATAAATAAGTTGCACCAAGAATTGCTGTTCAAACTTATTGTGCATATTCTTATTGATTAAATACCTGAGGAATTATGCCCAATAAGTTTATAAGGAGTGAGACTAATAATTTATTCTTAATTTTCATTTTTCATTTATGTGCTTTTGTAAGGTAAAGTAATATATACGGCATTACGGTAACATAAAATAAAATAAAATAAAATAAAATAAAATAATCCATGTCGTTAATCCTTTGTATATGAAGAGGATTAGATTAATGTTAGACGAAGATGCTCCCTGGCCTTTCACTATATGGAAAATAGTATTAATTATTTCTCAACTTGTTTGTTGGCATTTGCTTTCATTCAGACAGTGAAATTTAACTATTTTGCTTGGATAAGTGAAATTTCATTGTATATTTGTTCAATAAAGAAATTTTTTAACATTTTAACTGGTTTCGCTGGTCATGGTGATGCTAAGAGTGGTGGTATAGTTAGTGAAATTATACTGTCTAACTACTACACTTAGAAAGTGAGTTTCACTATTTTGATCAAATGGTGGAATTTCACTGTGTGATCAACGAAGGAATTTCGAACATTTTACTAGTGATGATGATAATGGTTTGGATAGTTGCTGGTGAAATATTTTCACCCCTATTACAACACGACACTCATTTGAGGTACTTAAGGTGAGGTTTGTGGCATTTCTCTATTGCATTATCAACTTCTGTTGTTCCAACAACATTGTTTTATTCAAAAATTTTTTTTCTATTTTATTTTTAATAAGTATGACAATGAGAAGAGAAAAATGTTATTAACCTAATTGATACACTTGTCCTTTAAATATCCATCACTCTTTTGGGGTGCCATGCTCTTAACCTAGTTCTCATATTTTGGTACTTCAAATAAAAACTTCATTTTATTATTTTAAATTATTCGATACCAAGAGTTGTCGTGAAAGTGAGGTAATATAATGTTTAAATTCAAATCTCACTCAGTGTTATGTCGTGCAATTTTTTCTCCCTTACTCCCCCTCTACCATTACAAAAAAGTAATAAAATAAATAAAATAAAAACCTATCATACTATCCAAAAGTGCAAAAATCACTTTAAACTTTATATAATTTAAAATTAAAATAAAGAAAAAATTAGGGAAACATATCTATCTAACTTTTGATCGTAAGTGGTTCAATATATTTTTTTTTATTAGTTAAGATTCTTTAAAAATATTATTAGAGAAATTTCAACTCGTTACAAATAAATTTGTTAAAATTTGTCTATGAAAATGTTGAAAGACCCTAACTACTATGAAAATATTATATGTCATTTATCTTATAAAATTTTAATATCAACAATTTTAAACTAAAAATCCCTAAAACAAACCTTAAATACCTCACATGTTCTTGAGCTTTGGGTCACGAGATTCAAAACTTCATTGAAATAAAATCGAACGGTAGAACGATTTTTTCCAACAAAAAATAAATAAATAAGAAAAAATGAAGAAGAAGATGGTAATGAATTTCTGACCTATTTGGTATTATTTATAAGTTAACATTTTGTTAACTTAAAACAATTGAACAGGTACAACATGACCGTTGAAACTGAAACTAGTAATCATGCAACTTCGTTGGAAGAGCAAGACCACCTTGATCGGAGCAAGAAAAAAGTGAAATCTAGTGATGCAAATGGTGGGGAATTACTGGAGATTCAAGATAATAATTTGGAAAAGCCAAATGAGCAGATGGTGGAGGATGCTGATGTCTGTAATGCCAACATCGATAACCTACAAGAAGATAATCTGGGATCCCAGAGATCTTTCAAGCAAGCCCTTTTACGACCTCGTTTCAATGAGACTGAGAGAGAACGAAGCTTTGACTGTGAGGCCGCTTATTTCTCCTCTGATAAGGAGATGGACAACGACGACGAAACACAGGATGCTTCGGAGAATTAGAGAAACGTCTCGATTCCGATCATTAAGCTACCTGTTGGTCTCCTAAAAAAGGTCAGAGAACCATGGAAGAATTGCCTCATTGTAAGGCTCTTGGGGAAGAATATTGGATATAACTTGTTCGTAAATAGGATGCGCAAGCTGTGGAATCTTCAAGTAGGTTTTGAAACTCTAGATATTGGAAATGGTTTCTTCATTGTAAAATTTCAAGTGATGGAAGATTACTCTTTTCACTGGGGGCCATGGGTAGTGATGGATCGGTATGTGACAATTCGAAAATGGCAACCTGATTTTAAATCAGATGAGGCGGAAGAGGATACAACCGCCATTTGGGTGAGGTTCCCTAATCTGCCTATTGAATATTATGATGAAAAGGTCCTCTATCATATTGCGAAGGTGCTTGGAAAGCCCTTAAAGGTAAACATTAATATTGCCATGGCAGCACGGGGAAAGTATGCAAGGGTATGTGTTGAGATAGACCTACGTAAACCGCTCATATCCCTTATTACCAATGGACGTTACCATTACGTTGTGGAGTATGAACACTTACACCTTTTGTGTTTTTCTTGCGGTCGTATTGGTCATCGGAAGGAGAAATGCACTGAATTTCCGGTGATATAGCCGAAGAAGATGATACAAAATATGACCGTTAATCAAAAGGACACAGAGACTGGGCCGAGAGAAGCACAGCCCAATGGGCAAACAAATAAAAAGTCATCTAATGAACAAGAAACCCATGGTTATGGGCCGTGGACCATAGCAACCAATAGAAGAAAATACCAACATGGAAAGCAAAAACAGAAGACCCATGTCCATAAGAGCAATCGATTTGAAAGTTTACAGGTAGACCAAGATCAGGGAGAAACCAGTGCAACCCTGGAAATTAAAGCAGCTCAAAGAAAATATGTTGACCTCAACATGGGCCCTCAGTCTTTTCAAGGAGAAATTTCGTATGTGCAAAAACAAAGCCCAATAGGCCCAACTAACCACATGAAAGATGGAGGGCCAGAATTAGGGTTGGATGTTGTATCTGGGCCCAAAGAAAAAGAGATGATCTGCTGTGAGAACCCAAAACATTCCAAGCAAAAAGGCTCACAACCTAGCTTAAATAAGCTAAATGCTCAAGGAAACCTAATTTTCTTCCCGCTACTACAGCACCCACCATAGACAATAATACCAATTTGAATACGGCCACCGACCTTGATATCCGTGTGCAAATCAGAAAAGACAAACCACCAGATTTGTCGGTCAGAAAGGAGGGACGCTTTAATGGAGGAAACGGCAGAGAACATCCCAATGTCAGAACACCGAGTGGACCAATTCAAAACTCTGATGTTCTTAGAACTAGAGAAAGAAATGTATCACCACGTCGGAATCGATTGGTGGCTAGAAGAGGTGAAGCTGCTGATTCAATCATGGTGGGAGAGAGATTCACACAACGTGAGGCACATGGTGCTTGTGAAACCCGCGAAGCCGCTGGAGGAAGACCAAAAGACTGTGCGAAATATTTTGGGACTATCTGAGGCAGAGGATTGGCCAACCCACAAATTGTCGTCTATGGATATGCTAATATGGAATTGTAGGGGTGCTGGTAATGCTCGATTTCGGAGAAATTTGTGGGAATTAGTAAGGCTACATAAACCGGACATGATCATACTCATGAAGACAAAAGTGGAGCTAAATACGATGGGTATGTTTTTCAACAATCTGGGGTTCACAGCCTCAACCCATGTAGATCCGACTGGCAGAAGTGGAGGCATTTGGCTACTTTGGAATCCTAGTCAAACCAATGTGAGAGTTCATGATGCTTCTTCCCAGATGATCACAACTACTATTTCAAGACAAGATTATCTTGACTGGGTATTATCTGCAGTTTATGCTAGCTCGAATATTCGAATGAGAGATGAACTCTGGAATGACTTGACAACATTGGCTCAACACACACAAAAACCATGGCTTGTAGCAGGGGACTTTAATGACTACTCAAGCTTTGAGGATAAAAGGAGCTTCTCAACTTCTCCATCTCAAAACTTAAGCCAGAGTCAAAGAAGGAGCCAAAAATTCTCTGATAGAATTAGTAGTTGCAACCTCATGGATTTAGGTTGTGTTGGCCCTAGACTCACTTGGACTAATAATAGGAAAAGGTGGGCTAATACAATGGTGAGATTGGACCGTGCACTCTGTAACACAGAATGGCAAACTTTATTTCCTGAGGGCTATGTCCATAACTTGCCTCGAACCTATTCAGATCATTCTCCTATTCTTCTTCATACTCAAGGTACAAATCCTTCTAGTCTTCCCAGTAATTTATTTAAATTTCAAGCTGTTTGGTTATCACATGAGGATTTCAGTGCAATTGTTGATAATAATTGGCCCATGCAGAATAATAATCTATTGGGAAATTTGGATTACATGATATCTGCCTTGCAGGATTGGAATAAAAATATTTTCGGTAACATTTTTCGTCGTAAGCGCTGGTTGCTTGGCAGAATTAATGGTATCCAAATTTCCCAAGCCAAGAACTATTCTCACACTTACATCAACTGGAAAATGAGCTTACTATTGATTATAATAGAGTTTTATATCAAGAAGAGTTATTTTGATTTCAAAAATCCCGTGTTAACTGGATTACTCAAGGTGAGCGGAATACAAATTTTTTTCATATGTCTACCATTATTAAGAGAAGGAAAACAAAAATTGGAGTTTTGAAAAATGAGGAAGGGGTTTGGGTGCATAACCCCATGCAGTTAAAAAGTTTAGCAAATGATTACTTTCAAAGCCTCTTTGCTTATACTCAAACTATTAGCCTTGATCATTGGAGTAATCTGACCAAGCACATCAATCCTGAGTGTGACACCCCAAAATTTAAGGACATCATAATAAGATTTAGAATTTAAAATCAATATTACCACCAATATTACTAACATCCATTAATTAACAACCCAGAATTTAAAGTTCTTACATCACAACTTAGTCTTAGTACATAAAAGAAATGATACAAATATAAAAAGAAAACTAGAGAAAAATTAGAAATTTTAGAAAATAGTTCATGAAACTTGACACTCTTCAAGCTAACCAAGGTTGAGTGTCGCCTTGCAAGGCCCCAGTGTTTCCTTCGATTTCTTCGGTACCTAGCATAAAATGCCAGGGCAACGGGAATGCCAGTGAGCGATGAGCTCAATAAGATACTACAACCCGAAAATACCCACCCCGATAATAATACTCACAATTTATGAATAATATGTAGTAACAGAATAACCAGTAACATTAGTAAGTATAAAATAAATGTTATCAGTTGAAATAATAACAATAAATAATAATAAATCAAATAATAATAAAAAATTATAACAAACGGAAGCAATATTTTCATCATAAGGAATATGCCCGCCTTTCTTTTTAAATTTTCATAAATTTAGTTTATCAGATAAATTTAAGTAACTCCCCGTGGAATACTATTTCCACTCAACCACTAAGCAATGGCCACGGGCAATTCTGACTCCCCTTTGGTCAAATATTCAAATGTTACTTACTGTAACTACCAATGATGCCCACGTACCAGGGTTACCTACCCGAGTCGTGACATCACGGTCTGCTCCAAGGGAAAGGTCTATGTTTTGACACCCGCACCACCAACCTTATATCGCCTCCACCGATAAAAGCCAAAATACTTTCCCGTGCCATGTTAGGGCTCGCCACTCACTTGCGCAAGATTCTAAACCAGGCTCACCCCATCACTTTTAAATTTTAATATACCATTGGTTAAATTTCGTGTTTATTTACTTATTGAGATATTCACAATAATTCAATATTTGATTACTAATAATGTTATACCAACTCATTAAAATTCCCAACATAAAGTATTACACATGTCATACAATAGTAAACAAATTTACAAAATTTTAATAAACAATTTATTTAAACCATGGTATGAAATAATAATATAGATACCAAAAAGAAGATATAAATCATAATCACACACATGCATGAATTTTTAATCTACAAGATTAGATTAGCACAATATTAAATTTTTGTCCAAATAAACAATTGAAGAGATAATTTTTTATTCCTCCTTAATTTGCCAGAATTTTCAGAATACATAACTCGTAATTAAAATTATAAATAAATTACTTATACGGCTTTAAAATTCATATAAATCTACAGAATACTCAATAATCAGAGCCCGCCACGTGTCACTGGAAAGGGAAGCGTTACAGTCGTGATTGAAGAGACGTTTTTTAACCGGACGAAACAGAGCCCGGAGTGAAAGTAGCTCGGCCGAAAGGTTTGACAAAGTTTCTAGCTCGGCTGGATAGGCTAGACTGTTCTTTTTAGCTATACCATTGGTTAAATTTCGTGTTTATTTACTTATTGAGATATTCACAATAATTCAATATTTGATTACTAATAATGTTATACCAACTCATTAAAATTCCCAACATAAAGTATTACACATGTCATACAATAGTAAACAAATGTACAAAATTTTAATAAACAATTTATTTAAACCATGGTATGAAATAATAATATAGATACTCAGAGGGTAATTTTTGGGAAAAATTGGGCCGAGCTGCGAGTTGGGCTTTTGAGGCCCAAAAACGCGAAGGACTAAGTAAAGAGGCCGTAATGGATACTCCGGCCCAGGAGGGCAAGGTTACTCCGGCCTTGGGGAGACAAAGTTATTCCGGCCCAAGGAGGTGAAATTACTTCGGCTCGCAAGTGATAAAGTTGCTTCGGTTAGAGGATTATAATTGTACTTCGGTCTAGGAGCAACTTGAAGTTAGACCGGCCTTGAAGTTATATCGACCTTAGAGGTATACCGGTTTGGGAGTTATACCGGTCGAGAGTCGTTGGTTCGGTCCAAGCACACCATGGGTTGAACAGATGAGAAGCCGATATGAGGAAGAGTAAAGGGAAGGGCTGAACTAAGGATAGTTTGGCCCACTTTACTTTGGTCAAATGTTATTTCGGCCTACTCTGTGGCTTAGCATAGCCACTGTTATTTCGGTCACATAGAAGTTCGGCCGTGGTAAAAACCATCACACTTGGTTTAAGCAGTGGGGGAGGGTGTAAAAGGATAAGCATTATCCTTAGGAGTATGAATCCTAGGAGGACTCTGCATGGAGAAATACAAGTCCTACTAGGATTGTGCCACGAGAAACTTATAAAAGCTCACAAGCATCACCTTGGAGGAGGTAATTGAATACAATCTTTCTGAGAACTAAGAGTTTTGTCTATTTGTCAAGTTTTTCTGACTTAGGCATCGGAGAGGTTTCCGGCACACACCCGCCGGCTAGCTCACGTTTGTGTTTTCAGGTGACAAAGCGACGTCGTACGGAGGAGCATGGACTAGGTCAACAGGATTATACGAGGAGAATTATTTCCTCCCCGTACAGATACCAAAAAGAAGAAATAAATCATAATCACACACATGCATGAATTTTTAATCTACAAGATTAGATTAGCACAATATTAAATTTTTGTCCAAATAAACAATTGAAGAGATAATTTTTGATTCCTCCTTAATTTGCCAGAATTTTCAGAATACATAACTCGTAATTAAAATTATAAATAAATTACTTATACGGCTTTAAAATTCATATAAATCTACAGAATACTCAATAAACATGTTATGGTCATTTTTCAGAAAGAATTTTCCAAAAATAAATTATAAATAATTTTGAAAAATTCCCAGAAAATTTATGACACAGATTTATCATATTTTCTTAAATTAACTCCATACTTAAATTTATAAATCGATTCCATGATCTAAAAATTTATTATAAAATTAGACTTCTCAAATTTCATTTTTTGTTTAGAAATTACCAAATTTGGTTTAATATAAAAATTTTAATGATTTTTCAAACACATAGTAAAATCTGCCTATAGCTCCAGATTTGGTTAAAAATCTGTATAAATTCGTGAAAAATTCCATAATTGTTGAAAAAAATTCATGGATGAAGTAGACATCATTCTAAACAACTTTGTAGAAGAAATCAACTTCAAAGTTTGAGTATAAAATTGTCTAAAAATTCGTACAATTTGTTTGGCAGATTCAAGGACCAAATAAATTCTTCAATCCTCTCTTTTATGGTATAAACTACACATGCAAGCCTATTTCCACAATAATACCATGACTTTAAGGCCATCAATATCTTCAAATATTTGATATACACATCACAAAATTTATATACATATATATAAAAATTTCTATCTATAAATTAGTCATTTTATCATATGAATATAATCTGAAAATTTCAACAATTTAAAAAAAAAATGAGAGGGTTGAGAGGGTTTTCTTACTTAATAATAGAATGATGAAATGGTAGAAAATTTTAGCTTCCTTAATCTCCCACTCTTCTTCCTGTCCTACCCAACTTAGCTGCTTCATAGATTTTTTTTTTTTCACCGAATGCTGCATGCATATTTATACGCAATGAATGTTTGCATGTATATATATATATATATATATACAATGCTTGCTGAGCCCTTTCTCTCTCTCTCCCTCTCTTTCTCATCATTCTCTCTTCATTCTATGAGTTCCCTTTCTCTCAACTCCAAGAGTATAATGGGGTCTCCTTCCCTATAATATCATGCAATCCAACATGTGGCAAAGTTGCCCCCAAAAATTCTACAAAGTTGTTGTTGTTGTTGTTGTTGTTTTTTTTTTTTTTGTTTTGTGTGGGTTTCTTAAAATTGATACACTAAGATATCTAATTAAGGTATTTAGTAAGGATAATTATCATATTGAATCCTAATTAAAATAATTATAAACAACAAATATTGAACACCCATAAAATTATTATTCTTAATAATGTCTTTGTTAGTAATTGAATTGGATTAATTTAAAACTAACTTTTACACTATATATATTTCAGATAGACTCTGGATAAAATTAATTAATTTATTTATTTTCTTTTAAGAATAGTTAAATGTGAGTTTTCACACTAAGGACCAAAGTGAAATGAGTAGGATTGTTTCTGCTGATGACATTTGGAGGGCCGTCAAGAATATTAAAGCTTTTAAGGCCCCGGGTAGGGATGGGTTCCAAGCAATTTTTTACCACACCTTTTGGAAGACTGTGGGCCAATCTGTGACCAAATTTGTCCGAAATTGTTTTTCTTCTTGTAACATTCCCCCTGCGATTAATAGAACTCTTGTAGCTCTTATCCCTAAAGTTACTAATCCTGAGAGTGTGAAACAATTCCGGCCTATCAGCTTGTGTAATGTTACTTACAAAATCATTTCTTAAAATCCTTGTCAATAGAATTAGGCCTGTCT